GGCTGATCAGATGTGAGAAAAGAAGCGGCACAGCTTCTATCAGCTCGATCGCTCGAAAGGGCTGTAGCTACGTCTTGTTCTTGCCCACCACACCACTACGTTTTGGTTTACGGCTTCTGTGCTCAGCGTGCAAACTTGAATGTCTGCGGATAATCGTTTGATCAAGATTCGAGACGGGATCCAGGAAGGTCTGTTGATAGGGTTAGATGTCGCAGACGGCATAGCAGATGCGTTCCCTGGGCCGGCGAAGGGAATATTTGGGGGAATTAAGGTCGTCGTAGACCTCGTCGATGTATGTTTCACTCCCGCGATAGTCCGCAGACTCCTCCTTATCTATTTTAATAGCAATTTTCGCGCAACAAGGAGGATTGGAAGGCTTTGAAGACCAAGCTCCAAGATATCACCGATACAGTTGCCAAAGCACTCTTTGGTTATGATCCAGACACTGTTCCAAAGTCACTTGTTGAGAATATTCAGACAATGAACAAGTATGTTTTTTCTTTCCACTCATTAATTAATTAATGCTAATATTATACCAGAGTACTAGATGGAATTCAAATTGAAGTTGAAAAAGCGCAACAACGGAAGGGCTGGGAAAGGGCACTGTTACTGAAGCAGGATAAGAAGGTCATACAAGATCTTGTTGGACGTTTAAATGATGCAATTACAAGGCTTAATGTGCGTTGTTACCGCTATGATATTCATGTTTAAAGGTCAAATTTTTATTTTATTTTTGTGTCAAAGTTTCAAGAACATATTGGCCACTCATTGTCTCTTGGTCAGATGGAATTATCACTTCGTCAGCTAAATAGTAAACAAGGTATGGTTCTTCCGTCCATCCTGTATGGCTAAAAATCAATCAGTCATACTACAGAATTCACCTGGCTAAGGGAGACCTTGAGTACTCCTACACAAATCACCCTTGGTGATTCCTGCCTGGAGGGAACCAGAGAAATTCTCCTCTCAAGAATATTCACATGGGTTAATGACCCTGCAGCGACAAATATTCTCTGGCTATCTGCCAGTCCTGGTGCAGGCAAGACAGCAGTTGTCTCTACTATTGTCAGGAAAACTGGGGCTTCCCGGTACTTTTTTCGACACACAGGTTCAGCTTCTCAAAACCTATTATGGTTTTGGCGCACAGTTGCTGGAAGTCTTTTGAATCAATATGCTATCCTTAGACCATATCTTTCTGATGCTGTGAAGGAGATCCATGAGCAGCAACAAAGTGTAGAGGACTTGGATTTACTATCACAATTCAAGAAGCTTATCAAGTCACCTTTGGAGGCATATTATAGGCAGATATCTCAATTTGATGGCTCTAAACCACAAATTATATCACTCATTGTTGATGCCTTGGATGAAGCAGACAGACGAGATACAAGACAGTGGAATGAATTACTTGAAACACTTGCAGAATGGAGACAACTTCCTGGAATATTCCGACTTATCATCACAAGTCGACCCAATGATGATATTAGGAGTCATTTGGGATCAAAGTTTGTGGAAGAGACCCTTGCTACAGGAAGCTCTGTTTCAGAGGAATCTCAAGCAGATATTGACAAGTATTTAAGATACCGGTTTCTTTCTATCAGAAAGAAAATCCAACAGATATTCCCAAGTTGGTCTGATAAGGATATTATTCCACAGCTTGTGAATAATGCTGCTGGCTTATTTATGTGGGCAAAAGCTGCCTTGGATTATATTGAAGGGGGGGGAGATCTCCTGAAGCGGTTACAAGATATCCAATATTCCACAAGTATTGGCCATACACAGCCATTGGATGACCTTTATATGAGAATTCTCCAAGGAATCTACAAAAATCTGGAGAAAGATGAGCAGGATTTGCTACAGAAGGTTCTGTGGACAATTATCATGGCCAAACAACCAATGGATCGATTGTCCATTGAGGAGTTAATCAATGCACCTATATGCTCATTGTGGTGGGTTGAACAGGCACTTAGGCCTGTCCTTGCAGAGCAGAACAATGATCACCTACTACAAAGTTGCCACAAGTCATTCACAGACTTCATGCTGGAGCAGGAAAGATCTGGAGAATTTGGTGTCAAGGAAGAATTGCATGGATTATATCTTGCAGATACTTGTCTCCAGTCTATGAACACAAAGCTAAAGTTCAATATTCTTGGATTATCCAGGGGATATTTCAATAGAGATATTGTTGATTTAACAGAACAGGTATCTGTCTCTATTCCACAGAGTTTGCAACATGCCTGCAAATACTGGTCAGAGTATTATCCTGTAAGGAATCTGACTGTCCAGAGCAAGAATTCAATACAGAATCTGGAGATATTTCTACAGAAACACTTCTTTCACTGGCTAGAGGTTCTCAGTATTCTCAGTGCTGGATATTATGCCACATCTCTATTGAAAACAGCCAATAAGTGGCTAGGAGTAAGTCACAGATAATATAATACATCTAATAATCTACTAATTTTACTGCAGAATCTCAGCTCTAATATGGTTCAGCTATTAACTGATGGAACGAAAATAACAGATCTGTTTCATCAGGCAATACAAGAATCCTGTTCAGGACTCTATTTCAGCATTCTCACATTCTCACCTCAGACCTCTCTACTTGCCAATCATTATCGTAAACTATATAATCCTTCCTTGCAAGTGACAGGAGGTATACAAGATTGGCCAGCTGAATGTCAGGTTTTTCTAGGACATCAAGATTTAATATCATCAGTTGCATTCTCATCTGATGGCACAAAGATACTCTCTGCTTCAATTGACAAGACAGTACGAATCTGGGATACATCTACTGGTCAAACTCTGGGACAGCCCCTTCATCATCAAAGTTCAGTTATATCAAGTGCATTTTCACCTGATGGAACAAAGATTGTCTCTGCTTCAGGTAACAAGATCCAAATGTGGGATATATCTACTGGTGAGGCACTTGGACAGCCTTTTGAAGGCCATCAAGATAGAGTGTTGTCAGTTGCATTTACATATGATGGGACAAAGATCATTTCTGGTTCAAAGGACAAAACAATCAGAGTATGGGACACATTCACTAGCCAGAACCTGGGATCTCTTGAAGGTCATCAAGATAGAGTGAACTCAATTGCAATTTCACCAGATGGGACCAAAATTGTATCAGGTTCAGATGACAGAACAGTGCGAATATGGGATGCATTCACCAGCCAGAGCCTGGGATCTCTTGAAGGTCATCAAGATAAAGTGATGTCAATTGCAATTTCACCAGATGGGACAAAGATTGTATCAGGTTCAGATGACACGACAGTGCGAATATGGGATGTATCTACTGGTAACCTGGAACATATCCTAGAAGGTTATCAACTTCAAGTGATATCAGTTGCATTCTCACCAGATGGGACAAAGATTATCTCAGGCTCATTTGACAGAACAATACAAGTATGGGAAGCAACTACTGGTTACAACCTATGGAAATCATCTATGGGTCATCAAGGTTCAATATTCTCAGTCACATTTTCACCTGATGGGACAAAGATTGCTTCTGGTTCAGCTGACAGGACAGTTCGAGTATGGGATGCATCTGCTGGTGACCATCCAAGCAAGCAACTTGAATATAATCAAGTTATGGTTATATCAGTTACATTTTCACCTGATGGAATGAAAATTGTGTCCAGTTTAGATAGCAGTATTCAAGTTTGGGATGCATATACTGGCCAGAAGCTGGGACAATCTCTTTATGGTCATCATTGGTTGGTGACCTCAGTTGCACTCTCACCTGATGGGAAAAAGATTGTTTCTGGCTCACTTGATATGATGGTTAAAGTTTGGGAGGAATCTGATGGGTGGAGCCTCAAACTATCCCTTGAAGGCCATAAAAATACAGTGTTCTCTGTTGCCTTCTCACCTGATGGAACAAAAATTGTATCAGGTTCAGCTGACAAGACAGTGCAAATATGGAATGCATCCACTGGTCAAAGCCTGACACAGCCCCTTGAAGGTCATCAGAATTTTGTATACTCTGTTGCATTTTCAAATGATGGAACAAAGATTGTCTCTGGTTCATCGGACAGTATAGTTAGAGTATGGGATGCATTCACTGGCCAGGTTCTGGGATCTCTTGAAGGTCATCAAGATGAGGTGAACTCAATAGCTATTTCACCAGATGGAACAAAGATTGCCTCTGGTTCAGATGACAAGACAGTCATAATATGGGATACATCAACTGGTCAGGGTCTGGGACAGCCCTTTCATCATCAAGATTGGGTAACTTCAGTTGCATTCTCACCTGATGGTACAAAGATTGTCTCTGGGTCAGCTGAAGGAGTAGTCTATATATGGGAAATATCAACTGGTCAGAGCCTGGGAGACCCTCTTGAAGGCCATCAAGGTTATGTGGCCTCAGCTGTATTCTCACCCGATGGGACAAAAATTGTATCCAGTTCATATGATGGAACAATTCGGGTATGGAAATTAACTGGGCAAAATATAGAACAATCTCTAGAAGGTCATCAAGGTATAGTAGTCTCAGTTGCTTTCTTATCCTGTACAAGAACTAATTCCAATCTTATATACAAAAGTACCTATCACAACTTGGACATGGGATGCAAAGTCAGGATGGATTCTTGATACATTCTCCAAAGCTCCAATTGCATGGGTACCAAATAATCTTTGGGCCGGATTTCATACTCCCTCAACTCAACTTGTTATTGGTGCATCTGAAACAGTTCTTGATTTTAGTAACTATATTCCCTGGGAGGAATGGGAGGTATAATGTACCACCATCATGAATTCAGAATATATGTTGGATATGCCATGATTTACTATATATATATTTCAAAATGTTTCATCATAATTTTGCCTCTGATGTCAAGATTTTATTAAATGGCAAATGCTTTAAAATCCATGCATATTCCAGGACTAGAACTAACCATAGTGGCTAAAAAAAGAGATATCCAACCTATGGGCAGTGGGCGGAAAAAAAACTGGCATGGCTCCCAATTGCAAAGGACAGGATAAAGCATTTATAAGAATAACTCTTATCTTTAGTGGTATAGCGGTTAGTATTTGTGCCTGTCATGAGCCTTAACTTGAGATTGCGTGAGACCAGTGTTCAATTCCCTGCTTGAGGATATTTATTGAATTTTTAACTATTAAAATCACTGGGCAGCAGACTGAGGTGTGAAAAAGTCATGATACTTAATGATATCATTATTAGGGGAAAGTGCTGTGTTGATAGGACTTTCAATATCAGGGTTTAGAGGGTGGACTAAAGACTGGGGATCAGATTATAGAAAACAGTAAAAGAAAAAGAAGAAAAGTTCATCACTACAAATCCTTCCTTCTTGAACCAAGATCAAGCTCTTTTCATCTAAAGACCTCCGCAATTTCCCTCTAATTTCCTCCCATTGTTTTCTTTGATGACCTTTCTTCGTCTCCTCCTAGATATGTGAGATGGAGAAGAAAAATAAAGAAATAAGAAAAAGAGACAGAGATTGTGTATAATGTTTTATATCTTATATCACACAGTACTAACTGAACTCAAGATCTATTGAGTATATAGGTAGTACAATATTGTGCAAAGTAAAGATATGATGCTGGCGCATTAGGCGCCGGCGTGCTAAACACGAACCGCTGTGGACACTTATGGTGTCCACACTATTTATTAGATAGCATATATGTACCTATCATAATATATACATTATATAATATTAGTTATTATTATATATATATAATCTAACAGTATTAGACTGTTACATCCTCCCCGGCTGACTGCTACTAGCAGTCAACTATATAGATCATCTAGTTCATGATCTAAACTCATGGCTGTAAGGGCAACCCTCGAAGCCGAGCGGACGTCACGCAGAGCTAGCAGAGGGGAAATC